CGGCCGCTGGCGCAACGTGCTGGGCGAGCAGCTCTTCGAGGACAAGAGCCACCACGCTAGCCCCAAGACGGCCTTCACCGCCGAGGTCCTGGCGCAGTCCTTCTCCGGCGGTGAGTCGCGCCGTCGGGCCGGTGCCTTCTCCTCCCCAGCGAGCCCCGATTCCCGGTCAGGTGACGCGCAGGACTCGGCGGAGACACCGCCCTGAGGCTGCTCGCGCCAACCTGGGCGCCGCCGTGGCTCCGTGCGCCTCAGAGGAAACTGAGTCACCAAGGGGTCGAGCAACCGAAGCGGGGGTTTTTTAGCCGGCGGGTTCCGGGCACTTAAAGCCTTACTAGGCGTGTAATAGCAGTTGACTCAAAAAGAAGGGGTTTTAAATTCATTTAGTTAACTTGGGCTTGACCCGCGAAAGTTCCCACTTAAACCAAGAACTTTAAAAGGCAGCGGGGGCTAAGGAGGGGGCGGAGGGCGGGCGGAGGGAGAAAAAGCCGCGGAGAGCGCGAGGGAGAGAAAGAGGGAGAAAAGTTTCTTTTCTTTAAGATGTCTCAAGTTCTTATTCCTCATTCATCAACCCGCAAACAATATCTTCCCCCGGCGCTGGCATCTCTGCGCGTCTCCTCTCTTCCCCCTCTGCGATTTCTGTTCCTCTCTTAATTTACCGTGAAGACTAATTCCACTTCCATTCACGCTATGTCAACCATCTAATCCCCCCTTTTTGTAAGGGGAATTCCTCGGCCCCTTTTAAACAAGTCCCCTCCGCATTGAGCTACAATTTACTGCTACAGCATTCTTCCAGGGCTAATGAATTTAGAATTAGCAATTTCTTTCGAATGGAGCCGAATGAATGCGATCACTTTAACAGCGTGACAAATTGCCGGCCTCGCTGCAATGGACACCGTTTAACCCCCCCTTTCAGCCGGCCCACTCGCCGGGTATTTTCCCAGGTAGCTTAGAGGGGAACCTTGTAAGACATGGAGGCGCCCCTGTGGCCTCGCAGCTCCCATCCTGGCTGCAGAGGCCCGGCAGGGGGACCTTTGGGGAAAACGGCCGCTGGGATTCTTCCCAGCCCAGCGAGGCGACTTCAGGGCTCTTCTGAGCTGGGTCACCACCCACCCTGCACCCTAGGGCCCAGGAGCAGAGACGGCGGGACCCAGGCACACTGGGGGGGGGGTTGTCACACAACCAGCAAACGCAGGGCCCCCGGCTGCTGCGGGCTTTCTGCACCTCCTCGGTTTGCAGCTGGTCACCGGCACTGACCAGTCTGAGCTCCTCCACCAGTGCCCTGCGCCCAGCCACAGTGTGAGGAGTGACGGCAGAAGCGGTCAGAACAGGACCGGGCTAAAGAGTCTTCGGTGGACGATCACCACTTGGCGAGATCTTGCCTCAGTTTCCCCATCTGTAAAGCCACATGGAGTGTTCTGCTCACTAGTTCTTAAACTTTTCAGAATGGAGCACTGGGGAAATTGTGGACGCTTTGAGGTTTCACGAACAGACTAAAAACCGGCTTCCAGAAACCAGCCCCAAGGCACCACTGAAGGCATGGGCGAGGCCAACGGCTGAGCATCCTCACTCCCTCCCACATCAGAATGGCTTCTCCAGAGTTGCAGGGAGTTGCAGCCGGCTTAGGCTTAGGGAACCCGGGTACCTGGTGGGAGCGGGCTCTGACCGTTCCCTGTCTCCCACCGCAGAGGTGCAGAAGCTGTCCAGCCTGGTGCTGCCAGCGGAGGTGATCATCGCGCAGAGCTCTATCCCTGGCGAGGGCCTCGGCATCTTCTCCAAGACGTGGATCAAGGCGGGCACGGAGATGGGCCCCTTCACCGGCCGGGTCATCGCCCCAGAGCACGTGGATATCTGCAAAAACAACAACCTCATGTGGGAGGTATGGGCCAGAAAAGAGGGGACTGCCAGCCATAACAGAACCCTGGTGTCTGGTCGTCACCCCTTCGATCCTCCAATCCTCGCTGAAGCCGGCAGTCCGGTTGCCCTCTGAGGGGCCGCCCTAGGCTGCCAGATTCTAGGCGCTCCCCCACCTGGAGGCTCCTCCGAGAAACCACAGTACCAAGGCTGACGCTGAGAAAACCTGGGCCCCTTTCTCCAGCCAGTTCTAGAAAGCCTGGCTGCTGGCCTCACATCTCAGGTGAGGGTCCTGAGATCCGGAGAGGCAGCGGTGCTGGCCCAGGTCCCATCCCTGGGGTGCTCCCTGCCACCTGCGTCCTTTCCCTAACCACTGAAGTGAGCCCCCCACCCCCAGCCTGGGGTGAGGTATGGCTGCAATGGAGGATGGTGAGCTATGCTTTGTAGAAATCGGCTTCTCAGCACCAGGCAGAGCCACAATCAAAATGAGCTTCACCAGATTGGCACCGAGTCAGTTTCCGGGGCCCCACCCTGCAAGCCACTGGCTTATCTCAGCAGCCCTTGGAGTAATTATCCCCATTTTACAGAAGGAAACTGTTTCAGAGGTGACTCCAGCCCAGGCTTCCTGACCCTGTTCCAATCCTTACAGTGCTCAGATCCCAGGGAGGGCCACCTGAGGACAGACTGGCCCTCAGTACTTTCTCTGCCCTGGTGGGAGGAAGGGTTCCGCTTGGCAGAATTGGAAACCAGCCCTGCCAGACTGGCACACCCGCTTCCAAATCTCATCCCCCTCCACCGCTATTCCCCTCAACTCCCTGAGGGGCCTGATGTGACAACTTCCTAGCTGGCCACAGGAGTGGGGGAGTGGCCCAGAGGGGAGAGTCCTCTCTGCTCCCTCCTCTGGAGGCCTAGGTCTGTGGCTTCCTTCTCCAAGCCTTGCCAGGTCAGAAAGCTGGGGTCCGGTGTGACCTCTGAGTGCCCTTGGCAGCTCCTACGAAGGGGCTCAGGCCAGCCACATGCCACGGGGGGCCAGCCTTTGCTTTCTCCGGGCTCTTGTTTCCCCTTTGAAGTCCTATCTGGTGCTCCCATTGCTGTGGGGAGCACCCTATGTCCCCTATGAAAGCTAACTGGAGGCCGCTTTGGTCAGTACCCCTTAAAGATGCTCTCCTGGGGATGGGAGGACACGACACGGGCCGCAGGAGCTTGGCACAGTCAGCCCACCGGCTCTGGAAGCGACTCCCTATGGCCACTTCTAGACCACTCGCCCCAGGGAAGTCCCTGTAGCCTCCCAACCTCCCTTTCCCCAGCTAAAACAGAGCCAATGGTAGCTTTACCCACTTTCCGGGCTGTTGTGAGGACGGGAGGGAGTACGTGAATGTGCCCTGCCTCACCTGGCCCTGTCGCACCTACACCCAGGTGTTCAATGAGGACGGCACGGTGCGCTACTTCATCGATGCCAGCCAGGAGGACCACAGAAGCTGGATGACCTACATCAAGTGTGCACGCAACGAGCAGGAGCAGAACCTGGAGGTGGTCCAGATCGGCACCAGCATCTTCTACAAGGCCATCGAGGTGTGTGGGTGTGTATTGTTGCCTAGGGGCCTGCAGGGGTGCCCTGCGTGCAGGGTGTGCAGCGCAGCGTGTCCAGGGACCTCTGTGGACAGAGGGGAATTGACGCAGGCCCAACTGGCCTTGGCCAGGCTGTAGGGCGAAGGTCTGTGCCTCGTGGTCTCCTGGAGCACCACTACTGGGGGACGCTTCCTGCCGCAGATCCAGAAGGACTGAGCTTCATGACTCGTGACTGTCATGAGCTGTCATGACTGTCCTCTCAATAGTGAAGTCTCTGGATCTCGGTCAAGGGCGCCTGGGGTTCAGACGTCACAGGGACGTGGATGGCAGCCCAGGGGATGCTTCCAGGTGGGCGAGAGGCGTGCGTCTGCAGCAGCTGCACGCTCTCCATGGTTCTGCGTGCCTGGGGCCGGTGACATGTGGATGATGACTCCAGGCTCAGCGATGGCTCACTGTGGCTCAGGCCTCTCCCAGACGCTGCATTTGCATTATGTAATCCTGCATGACCCACTGGGAGGGCGTTGCAGTGATCTGCAGTTTATGGACAACAGAACTGGGTCTCACTCACAGGCCCGGGAGCTCTTGCAGTGTGTTCGGGGGAATGTTACTAATGGCTCTGAGTCCTATGTCTTCTCAGACAGAGCAAAAGGGCGAAAGGGCGAGAGAGCAGACAGCTAACCATAACTTCCTACGGTGCGGGTGGGTGGGGGCTTCCGAATCTGGAGAGGGCCGAGATGGCCAGGGCCAGGCAAGGAGGGCGGGAAGAGGAGGTGAACCCAGCAGGGAACTGCTTGGGCAGAGTGGATAGTATAAAGCAGGCTTAATGGCGGCTAGCAGAATGGGGGAGGGCATGTCAGGACCCTCCCTGGACAGTGTCCCTTGGCAGAAAATTTGACCCTGCCTTGCCTGGAGCGCCCAGGGGCGGGCTGCAGTAAGTGCTCTGAGCTTGTGGAGGGACTGTTTCTTCCACAGTTCTTGGGATCTTCCACTCCGCTCCTGTGTGGAGGGAAGCCTTAAAGGGCTGAGGCTTGGCTGGGTTTGGGGTGTTCTGGAGGAGTGTCCACAAGCCCAGAGAATGACTCCCCTTTAGTCCACAGCCTAATTTTCTCCCTGTATGCAGGGCTTCTAGCTCTTTCTAAGACCTCCCCCACCTCCCAGGGCACACAGGCCTATTAGTTTCTGGCAAAGGGTCTGATCGTCCCTGACTCTCCGGTCCCCAGGGGTCTCCCGCAGACGACAGCAGGATGGCCACTACCTGGCCTCGTATGCACTAGGACTGGGTCTCAGCCAGGGGGTGATTCCTAGAGGACCAGAAAGTGGTGGGAAGGAAAAGGTGAGCGGTTCCTCGACTGGGGTTCGAGCCAGGGAGGTGTCGTGGCTTGAGGGTAGGACCGAGGCAGTCCAGGATCAGGGCAGAGGGGCTCTCCTGACCATCAGCTGAGCCAGCACAGCCTAGGATCGGCTTCCGGGGCAGCTGAACCCCCCTTCTAGCAGAGAACACCCTTCCAGACCCTCAGCCCCCTCAGCCTCTCTCTCAGTCTTACACACACATCCTCACGTTCATCCGTGACTTCTCAGCCACAGATGCAATGGAGGATACGCACGCACACACACGTGAACACAAGAGACAGGGCAGGAATGTCTTTGTCATTTTATTTATTTAATTTTATTTTATATTTTATTTTGGAGAGGTTTTTGCTATAGGGCATGTGTGCACACCAGAAAGACAGAGAGAGACAGAGAGGAAATCACCCCCCAGGGTGGGATGGCCATGCCACAATCCCTTCTCCTCCATTCTCCTCTCTGGATCTTGGGCACGCACGCACACGCGCCTGGTGTGAGTTTAGGCCACGGGGTCTAGGACTTGAACTGCAGTTGACTACATGGGAGTCCAGCAATGTGCCCATTATGCTCTCTACTGGTCCTCCCTATGCCATTTTAGCAAGAGAGCTCCTGGCTGGGGCAGAAATGGGGCCTCAGTCTCATCTTGCTGTGTGGGCACACCAGAGTATAATCAGGAAATACCAATAGCCTTTGATACTTTTTTTTGGAGAGGTTTTTGCTATAGGGGATGTGTGATCCCCAGAAAGACAGAGAGACAGAGAGACAGAAAGCGAGAAACCACCCCCCAGGGGGGATGGCCACGCTGCAATCCCTCCTCCTCCATTCTCCTCTTGGGATCTTGGGCACGCACAAACACACGCCTGGCATGAGTTTAAGCCACCGGGGCTGGGACTCAAACCGCGCAGTCAACTACATGGGAGTCTAGCAACATAGCCATTACGCCAACTGCTGGTCCTGATTATTTTTTTTAAGAAATACTTTAGGGACCAGCAGGTGGCATGGTGATTAAGGTGCTGGACACTCCTACATAGCTGACCACGGTTGGAGTCCTGGACCTGGTGGCTTCCTTTCTCACTTTCCCAATCTGCGTGTGTGTGTGTGTGTGTGTGTGTGTGTGTGTGTTTCTCTCTGGTCAAACTAAAATAAATGAATAAATAAATAAAATAAAATTAATTAATTTAAAAAATGATTACTTTATTTAACTTTATTTAGTGATGTATTTATTTTAATTTGACCAGAGAGGGACAGAGTGAGAGGGAGAGAGGGAAAGTGAGAAAGCAAGCTGCTAGGTCCAGGACTTGAACCACGGTTGGCCATACACCCTAGGATCGGCTTCCGGGGCAGCTGAACCCCCCTTCTAGCAGAGAACACCCTTCCAGACCCTCAGCCCCCTCAGCCTCTCTCTCAGTCTTACACACACATCCTCACGTTCATCCGTGACTTCTCAGCCACAGATGCAATGGAGGATACGCACGCACACACACGTGAACACAAGAGACAGGGCAGGAATGTCTTTGTCATTTTATTTATTTAATTTTATTTTATATTTTATTTTGGAGAGGTTTTTGCTATAGGGCATGTGTGCACACCAGAAAGACAGAGAGAGACAGAGAGGAAATCACCCCCCAGGGTGGGATGGCCATGCCACAATCCCTTCTCCTCCATTCTCCTCTCTGGATCTTGGGCACGCACGCACACGCGCCTGGTGTGAGTTTAGGCCACGGGGTCTAGGACTTGAACTGCAGTTGACTACATGGGAGTCCAGCAATGTGCCCATTATGCTCTCTACTGGTCCTCCCTATGCCATTTTAGCAAGAGAGCTCCTGGCTGGGGCAGAAATGGGGCCTCAGTCTCATCTTGCTGTGTGGGCACACCAGAGTATAATCAGGAAATACCAATAGCCTTTGATACTTTTTTTTGGAGAGGTTTTTGCTATAGGGGATGTGTGATCCCCAGAAAGACAGAGAGACAGAGAGACAGAAAGCGAGAAACCACCCCCCAGGGGGGATGGCCACGCTGCAATCCCTCCTCCTCCATTCTCCTCTTGGGATCTTGGGCACGCACAAACACACGCCTGGCATGAGTTTAAGCCACCGGGGCTGGGACTCAAACCGCGCAGTCAACTACATGGGAGTCTAGCAACATAGCCATTACGCCAACTGCTGGTCCTGATTATTTTTTTTAAGAAATACTTTAGGGACCAGCAGGTGGCATGGTGATTAAGGTGCTGGACACTCCTACATAGCTGACCACGGTTGGAGTCCTGGACCTGGTGGCTTCCTTTCTCACTTTCCCAATCTGCGTGTGTGTGTGTGTGTGTTTGTGTGTGTGTGTTTCTCTCTGGTCAAACTAAAATAAATGAATAAATAAATAAAATAAAATTAATTAATTTAAAAAATGATTACTTTATTTAACTTTATTTAGTGATGTATTTATTTTAATTTGACCAGAGAGGGACAGAGTGAGAGGGAGAGAGGGAAAGTGAGAAAGCAAGCTGCTAGGTCCAGGACTTGAACCACGGTTGGCCATGTGAGAGTCCAGAGCCCTTAACCACCACTCAACCTGCTGGCTCCAACTGTGATCATTTTTTTTTAAATCAGTGTCAGGAGCAAGGTGACTGAGGGTGACTGAAGAATGTCTCCAGGGAGGTTGAACCTTACATGATTAGCAAAAATGCTCATCCACATTGACTCAGGAGTTCAAGTTGATAAAAAAAGATCAGTATATATAATATTACACATATATATTATATATGTGATTCACACACACACACACAGATGAAATATATATATATATATATATATATATATATTAGATGACAGAGCTAGATATAGACAGATAGAGACCACCAATTTGGCTATTAATGTGTTAATGGTGTTAATAAACTTACTTAGAAGGGACTATTTGACTGAGGGGCAAAGAAATACAAAACACCACTCATTTTATTGAGTCATCAGAAAAGTCATGATGCATTTTTGCATAGAAAAACAGAAAAAATGCATCATGATTTTTCTGACAACCCAATAATTTGAATAAGTGAAGTTGGGCGCATTTTTCATGGTGCCAATTTCCTCAGACCATTTTGTCACAATGTTAGATTCTACCTCCGTGCGTCCTGTTGTATGTAACCACCCTCGTGCATGGCCCAGGTGCTGAGCTCATGCAGAGCTTCGCCGCTCAGCCTGGCCACCCCTGCACGTCTCTGGGATCAATCGGCTATTTGTTCTGTGTGTGCGTGAGCTGGCCAGGAGGGAGATCTCTCCATGATCTGTGTTTTCAATCTGGGTGCCACTCAGAACTGCCATTTATATTTCATAACAGTAACCCATTCCTTGCTGAAACGATGGGAAGGGACGTCTTCATTCAATGAATGGGCTATCTTACTGATGCTCTAAGTACCCCCAAAATACAAAATAACAGCCTTCCAGAGAGGAGCATGGGGCAGAGAATTCCCAGGTGGTTTCGCAACCGGCTACTGAAATGTCATCCCCGAAGCATCCTCCTGGCATACATAGCCACATCATTTTTATAAGTTCAGATGCCTGAAATAATGTTTCTAGAAAGCACCCAGCACATTCCAGGGTAAATGAGTAAGTAAACGCTAAATAAATAAACCTTTCTGCAGGTGATGGGAGGCTGTGCCAAAAGGGAAATACACA